AATGACTATGGCGCCCCCCTTGTCGGCAGGTTTTATCACGATGTCGTCTCTCTCGCTAATGACCTGAGTCCGCTGCCTGCTGCTGTTTTACTGTTTACTGCGGGCACACGCTGAAGTCCGTTGCTCAGCACGCATTTTTTCCTTCTTATGTCGAGATCAGAACGACACGACCTTGATTCGCTGCCACAGCTGCGGCTACGGCAGCTGGCGCAGGCGACGGGTACTCCGGCCGCTTTTTAAGCTACCTAAAGAAATTGCATTTTCTGACTACCCGGACTTCAGTCGTCATGGTATGCTATTTATTTTCTCGAAATTCAAAATAGCAGTTGAGAAAACCGTAAATGAAGATGATGCCGAAACCAGCATTCAAATTTTCGCGCGCTCTTCAGTGGTGTGACGTCACACGTGGTACAGACTTTCAGGTCGTGGTCGAGTTTTTTTTGCGTGCTTCTCAGTGAATCAGTTACCAAACGTTCTTTTCCCACCATCAAACGTCTTGTAATCAGTTGGGAACATGGCTTACTGCCCACTTTGTACCATTTCTGTCGTCACACTGCAATGTTGCCAGTAGGGGCTCCCGGTTTGAGAAACACGATGAAAACGAAATTCGAAAATTCAATAACTTCGCGAATTTTTTTTCTTTTCACACAATATTTGGGGAACTCGTAGGTTGAGACAATTTTAAGGCCAATCAGCGACCATGAAAAAGACGCCGGAGTACCCCTCTACAGGCACTCCTCTATCTGCGCGTGGACCCAAGATGGCGGCGCCTGACGCGCTTCAGACGCGTAGTTGGGGAGTTTCGGTACTCTAAAAGCGTAGTTTTATTTAGTGACTCTAGGTTGCACTATCTCTCCACTGGGCGCGCTGCCGCCGGGGTTGAGATGCGCTCTGAGAGCAAACCGAAACTTAAAACCCGTCAATTTTGTGCGGTTTTTCAGAAAGCCGTAAAATGCTTCGCGTGCCTTCTATCGCTCTGCAATTTGTTGATTTAGTGTTTTTCAATGATGCTGAGCAATTTTCTAATTTAAACCATGCCCTTAAACACAATATTAAGAAAGATAATTATGCAAAAATAATTAACAACTTAGTTATCCCGGACTTTAATTATTTTCCTAAATGGGCCCCTGGCCCAGGACCGAAACGCCACAAGTCTTTTTTGTTGCGATGAGTAGTTTTCGCAGAAGCGATTTGAACTGCGTCCTCTGAAACACCCTATATATATATATATATATATATATATATATATATATATAATATCGGCCGCGCAGTTCTGGATTGTTCAGCTGTCTCGGTGAGTTGCTATCAATAAGAGGGGGGGGGGGGTCTGTACGTGCTCTTACCATGGCTATGTTCTAAATCTACTCTAATAGATGAAAGCCCGTTCACACACGTGCCTCCGTAGCAACGTTACTAAAACACTCAGTTGAAAAACTCGCCGTCGAAACCTGGGCCGCTGGCTAACACCGAGACCGAGCTAAATACGACAACAGCGCCACTCTTTATCATTTGTCTCTGCTGTGGTCACCTTCAGCTTTTAGAAAGCATGTTTTTGCGTAAACACAAACAGAAAAGACTCTTTTTGTATGAAATTTATTGGAGTTTAGTACAAAATGAAGGGCGGGTGATGTTTTTATAATCTTTAGTTTGCAAGCTTTTGCGGAACAATTAATATTGTTTTTATACAACCATGCCTCAGCGGTGGTTTCAGGTAGCGCGTCCCGACCTAGATACATTTTAACTTCGGTAGCAATTCGCGGCGCGTTCGCTGGGGAGGTGGGGGTGGCACAACAAGGCGGTAAGTTGGGCTAGTTGGTTTAACATCGTCAAACGTGAAAACAGCGCAAAAAATTGAACAAAGGACAAGTGAAACAAGTGCACGGACAAAGCGCTTTGTCCGTGCACTTATTTCACTTGTCCTTTGTTCAATTTTTTGCGCTGTTTTCACGTTTGGGGGGGTGGCACCCCTGTAACCTCTTCCGCTGTATCTGTTTCGGCGCCAAAATGGCCGAATAAAGCCAAAATAGAAGTAACGTGCAGTTCCTCGTGTGGCCGCTGCGGGAGAAATGGCGGCTTCTGTTCGCCATTACCTCGGTTCTGGAGGACAGATCGGGGCCACTTTTTCAGAGCAGTCTCTATGGCAGTTTCCCAACTGAATGGTTTTAGTAACGTTGGTCCGGAACGACCGGAACAACTGAATCGATCGTCGCAAGGGTTTGCAACCGTCAGCTGCCATAGCGACGGAGGGACGCACGCACGTGTCGTTCACGACGCAAGGAGGTGGAGCGAGCCCAACTTTCCCCGCTGCGTTGGGAACCACCGCAACGACAGACCAATCACAGGTCGAGGAGAATGGGTCGCGCGCGTTACATACCGGTCGCGGGCCGGCTCCTTCTGTCTGCAAACATGGCGTCGGTGGTGATCGCAACGTTACGTGATCGTCGACGTGGACGGCGTGGTGAAAGCTCATCGTTCCGCGTAAAAGCGCTATCCTTGACTGTGAATTTTCGTCGTGTGTCGCCATGATAACCCAGCACGTACTAGAAGGGAAGATCCACCTAATCGTGCGGCGATGTCGTGGCGGAACTCTCAAGGCACCAGAAACGCCCGTGCCGTCGTGTTTGTTTACCTCGACTACAGTGGGGCTTTCTAAGCATTTGTGTCCTCGAACATCGCCCGGATTTCTTATTTGGCGCATTTCATGCGTGTGCTCAAGTTCAAGGTATTACTGGCGCGTACCGTATAAAGGATGCGAATTTTCACGTGTTTTCATCACCGGAGAAAAGTGATTAGTGTTAGCTATCCTGAACGCCTCACAACGTCTTTCTGATCACGAAATCATATTTCTACGTTGCTATATCGCTGATAAGATTACATCGTCTTTTATAATCGTAGAAAAGGCGTGTGGCGAGATTTGTACTATTGGCAAAGTCGTGTATTAGAGTCGTGATCATCCAAAACGGAGTACCGCATCTTTTTCTTTTCTGTTTTTCATCCACTACCCTGCAAGCCTATCACGAAAAAAAAAAACATTAATAAAGATTTAGGCTATAGAAATATGTCTGTCTATATTCTGCTACGGTATTGAGTGGCAGTGCGTCCCCTTTTTAGGGGCATCGCTGAAACAGCTGACGGCGGCGTAGAAGCTGTCGCCACGCTGCCGACCCGCTGCGCTTGTTGCAGCGGTTGTAGGTGTGTGTACGCGCGCCGCAGAGCGGTTGCCCCGGTCGCAGCGGTTGCAAAGGACGCATCGCGCTCGTTGTGCATGTCTGAACCAGCCTTTACGTGGGAGCACGAATAGAGCAACGCTGTGGAGCAAAGAGGGTTTTCGAAGACATAAGTACAAGACGGCGAGAATGAAAATCTTTGAAGCGCGGCCGATATGGTCGTGTGCAATCTGTTGACCAATTACAACTAGGCGAGCCGCGCTCAAACGTTAAGTGCAATCCAGTAGGTTGATAATGAGCCAGCACTGATCAGTGATTAGGAGCTGTTGGGCGCAGTACTCTGTAAATCGTCTAAGGACAAAAAAAAAAAGATGTATCTTCCCCCCCCCCCCCCCCCCCCCCCTCCCTTTTCCGTCGCTGTTGGACGCTGGATATAGCTCGTTTCTGGGCCGCAAGTATACAGTCGTCAGAGTAAAGTAAGACGCTGATCTAGAGGCACATACGGTTTCACGCACATTACACTCGCCAGACACATTCACTCGGCGTCGATTCTTGGTCGGTATCCAAGCGTGCGAAGACACAGAGACACAGCACTTCGGCGTGCCAAGGGAGCGTTGAACCGACCGCGAGACCGGCGAAACTTGCTTTCGACGAGTTATGACTGTTTCCTGCGACTCTGCGCTTTCGTAAAATTGTCTACGTGTTCACAAAGGCAAGTCTCAACGGTACACTGAGTCTTAAAAAACTTCTTTGGCGAATGACGACGAGCGAGTCCGCAGCAAAAGGCTAGCAAAACCGAAAATCGTCTTCGAGCAAGATGGCCGTCCGGTGGCTTCACTCGCGCTGCAGCGAACAATCGGGGAAGATCAGTGGGTTTTCCGATGCGCAGACAACTAGAAGTACTTGTAGGAGCCGTAGGATGCTATTAAGCAATGCCAAACACGTATGCCGTAAAGCGATCGTAATCTCCGAATGGCGACTTCCATCTGCCGCGGAGTACTTGGCGTGTTGTCTTCTAATTATTCCAATTACATTACAGAGACCACAAAACGAACAAACGACATGCATACCTAATTCTTCATCCGAATAGGCGCGCACAACGCCTTCGACGTACCGCGGTATCTTGGGCCTCTTCGCAGGCCAGCCAAACGACTCGGCAAACACTTCGCTGAGAAGGGCTGCCTCGTCGTCACTTGAGCTGGAGCTAAGCTAGTATCTTCGTCGCTGTCACTGCGATTTATTAGACCTCCTGAAATTAACTGCAACGATGTCATCGCCGCAGTATGCTCGGGCGAGTCGGTCATGACGAGGGGAACGAAAACAAGCACACCAAGAGAGCCCACCCAGCAATCGAAACAAAAAAAGCAGCGAAACTCCTTCATTCGCCGCGGGATCGAGAACGAAACTGAAACGTTGCGAGCGACGACTAGAGATCGTACTCCTCCGAAAAAGGCTGCACGGAGAACTACTCTGGACCGCTCGACGCGCTCCGCCACTTTTCCACTGTGCGGTTGGAGCCGCTCGGCGAGCGCCCCACTGGCTCCAGATGTACGAGTGGCACACGGAGAAATTGCTCTCATCCACTGCTCTCATCTCGGGTGTGAAACAAGAATCCGCTCGGCGAGCGCGCGTCGAGCGCTCGCTATTTGCCTTTTAGATTGGAAGATTGGTGGAAAAAATATAGCGAGGGGTGAAAATACAGATAAAAATAAGCAAGGGTGACACCAAGGTAACACTTTAAAAATGGGGGAGGGGGTGTTAAAACAAAATTTATACAATTTTGTAAAAAAAGATGAAATGTTAGGCTAGGTGGCGCAAGCTGCCGCCCCTTAACGGCTTTGGCCAGAGCCGCGTTTGCCGCGTTTTGACGTTGGCCAGATCCATCCAACATGGCGTCTCAGGTAGGGTGATTTCGCATTCGCTACTCGCCTTTTGTTGATTCGCTGCTGCTAGCTTCAATATCAGTGATTGCAGCTGATTGTGAGGTGCATTTCCGATCACCTCCGACTTGGTCTAGCGGCAGGGCATTCGTTTACTCATCCGCGTTGAGTGGAGTCTGTTTGACAGCGTATCTTCGCTGGCAGGATGCATCTCTTATCGCCATTGCAAATCTCGCATATTCGCTATCTGTCACCGTGTGCCGGTAACTTTGCTTTCTCAACGTGTTGAGCAGATATTTTCTCAAGATGTTTAGCAGAGCAGGCTACCTTTAGGGATTCTGTTATGTGGATTTCTCCATAGGGGGGGGGGGGGGGGGGGGGTCCGCCGCCCGGAGTGGTTGCTGAAGGGGGTATCGGTATGCCGCTCTGCCAGCATCTCTTGCTCGAATGTTTGTTCTCCGCTTATAAGCTGTTATGGTGCTTTATAACTCAGGTACACGAATTTGAGGTCGAGATGACCTGCGAAGGCTGCTCGGGCGCTGTGCAGCGTGTGCTGGGAAAACTGGAAGGTATGCGAGATTCCCTCGGGGGGCGTCATCTTGTTTTGGCGGCTGTTTCACGATGTGTCGGCAATCTTTTGTCACGTGTCGTTTAGTGTCACGAAGCTGCCGTCTCGAGTTTGCTCTGTTCGATTGCATGTTGCGCAGCTGGCGACTACGCGTTACTGAAAGACAAAATCAAAGCAAGTGCTTGGCCTCGTACAGCTGCTTAGTTGTTCAGGAGGCTCTTTAACTATTCAGAAATGAAGCAAAGTAAACATCTTCGACAGAAATCTGTCTGGTTTGGGGAACAATTCGAAAAAAAGAAAACTCAAACCAAAAGTTTAGAAACAACAGTTCCCAACGTTTCGGGGTCGACTTGACTCCTTCTTCAGGGGTGAAACGTTGGGAACTGTTGTTTCTAAACTTTTGGTTTGAGTTTTCTTTTTTTAGAAATGAAGCAAGTACTTGGCCTAGTACAGCTGCTTAGTTGTTTAGGCGCCTCTTTAATTACTCGGACTGCAATGCGGTATCATATTTTATGTGTCTTACTCTCGGGTTGTTTTGGAGTATCAACACGCTGTACACAATAAGTATGCGTGCTTGAGCCCGCACCTTTGCACGAGTGTTGCTGGTCAGGAAATTTGTTGATTTTTTTGTGCGTCCTTTGACGAAATATACCCTTTTGCAATTACGTACTGTTTTTCTTAATAAGCCTGAGTATGTGGGTTAAAACTTGGAGGCGCCAATGAAAAGCTAAAATCGAAAACGCTCGTCTCTTTTTATAGGTTGTCCCAAGTCATGCAGCTCAATCAAAAATGGACCGTAAAAGTCGATGCCTGCACGTAGCAATCTAAACTTTTCGCCAAAGGTGTATTTCGCAGGTTGGTTTTTAGAGTGCAGCTCTTAGGTGCCCGTTTCGGGCTTGAGCAACGTCGGCGTAATCACGCGGTGCATTATGGCAAATGTCCCACAGTGCACTGGAGTGACGCACACGTTGCATTATGGGACGTTTCCCGTAATGCACCGCGAGGAAGGAGGGGGAGTAGGTGAGGAGGGGCATGCCCTCCCCTCCGTGCCCTCCCCTCCTCCTGCTCAAGAGCTGCGCTCTAATTCAGCATAACAGGGAGTAGTAAACGTCTTTCATTTTTCTTGTGAAATTACAAAGCGCAACTCTCTTTCTCTAAAAGATAGCACCAAGAAACTTATCAGGGTCAACGGCGAGCAGTGATGCAGACGACCATGTCGAGTGGCGGGCCGGGTTTGGCGCTCGTATCGATGGGTGGCGCTACCTCCTATTCGAGACTGCTTGCTACCACAGTGGTTTATTAAGATGAACATGTTTTTTTGTAATGTACCTTTAATATTAAAAATACTTGCACACAATAAAAGCAAAACTTATATGGAAAAAACGCGTTTGCATAACGACGGCGCTTGTGCTGTTAACGGATTTCATCTGCATGTCATCTGCTTTCTTCCGCTCATCGGCTACACCTTCGGACGCTGCTCCCAATGCCATCTATCAATATGCGCGCCAAACGCACCCCGGAACTAGACCAGTCGTCTGCGTCGCCGTCCGCCGTTAACCTTGGCAAGTTTTTGGGCCCTGTGTTTTACAGAAAAAAGCTACGCTTTGTAATTTTACAACAAAAAAAAACGACCTGTGAAATACACCTTTGATAAAAGGTGTAGATTGCTAAGTGCAGGCGTCGAGTTTTATGGTTCATTTTAGATAGAGCCTGGTGACTTGGGACACCCTATATGTACTGACTCGCAGCACTGCATGAAGTCTCCACCCACTTGCATTCTACGAATTCAATATCGGGTATGCTCATAAAGTTATCCTGAAATCATATAAGCACATTCGCATATACAAATTGTTTTTAAGAAAACAACAGTCTAGCACTTCCGTGAAGAATGTCACATCGTTCGCCAAATGGCACGTATACGGGCATGAACCCCTATGTGGTACGCCAGACAGAGTAAAGGATTTAAAGCGCTCAAAGATTTCTTATGTACTTGTTTTATTCCAGACTGAGTATGCCAAGATAATTTGAGAGACACTGTTCAGACACAGCTTTTGGGCGTCTGTAAAAGCTTGTCCAAAAAGGCTTAGCGAGGAGTAGGGGACACTTGTCAGGGCATCCAACGTGGCTAGCCGATCTCGGCATTGGCGAAAACTTAAACTCTAATCAGCATAAAATTTGAGTGGGAGATATGACACGAGGAAAACTTGATAGTAACTTTTCTGCAGTAGCTAGGTCAAATTTATTGCTCTTCCTTAAAAACTCTGTTATACTCCGACGTAACGCGCGCGTAAGCAAACGCTGGCTGAAGTCAGCTACGTCACGCCAGTCACGCCGTACGCGTAAAAAATTCGTCCTCTCTATACTCTGGCAACCCTGGCAAATTCCGCGGCGCGCGTCGCATGCGCAAAATCTGGCTACGAGGACGCTTTTCCTGCGAGAGTGCGCCATTTCCGGTTCCTTTTCGTTTCGAATAGCAGACGAGAATTCTCACGCTTCTTGAGCGCCAAGTTCGAGCAATGGCGTGGACGTACCTTGCACGACGAAAACTCACACTTGCACAGTTGGTGCAGCTGTGCAATGTCAATGTACATGCGGTACATCTTTGACAAGCACACGGTCTACGGTACTCAAGCTTCTTGTGTCGTAGACACACGGGTGAGGACGAATTCCGCCGCTGTGACGCGCTCGCACGCGCGCACACGTTACTTCGGAGTATAACAGAGCCTTAAAAGTTGACGTGCCAATGTTGGGCTCAAATTTGAGACTCCCGTGAGGATGCGGGTTGTTTTTCGCCCAATGAAGTAACAAGAAGCGGACATTTGGTAAACAAAATATGTGTTTAGTAGTAGTTTACCGGTACTAGACAAGATTATTGAAATTGAGAAAGATAGCATCGTGGGGGTGAGGTGACTAAGCCACGTCTTACTGCATTTGCATACGCACACACAATATGTCGAGAACCAAGAAAACTCTTCTATATCACTCGCTTGGAGTATTCTACATTGGTGGGAAGTGAGATAGCTGCGCATTCGGTCACGGCATGATAGCATGAAGGGAAGCTGCTCAATCGAAACAGACACTGAGTGGCCAACTAGTTCCCAGGGCATGGCATTTTGGAACAAGTCTATTGGCTTGTCTCACATCCTATCCCTACTTATGTCTGAACAGAAGGGCCAGCATTTCGGGTAACAGCTGTGTCTCCAAGATGTAGTTGCCTAATGTGTGATCAGCCATTCATGTTTGATCATAGTGGTGTGTGGAGTGGTAATTTTATTTAAGTATTCATTAGTGGGTAGGTAGGGTTCGAATAAAATACATGGTGCGCCTCCTGGAGGCTTCTGGAAAGTAGGGCCTCCAATCTGTTTGAACCCCACTGAGCACAACCTAAGCTTCGACGCTGCGCCAGAGGTGCGCTCCAAGTTCCGTCACTAAATTCCGAACCCGACCCAGAGTTGGCAAGAACACGACAGCCTCGGCTTTTCTCACCCAAGTTGGCTGCCGGATATTGAATTCTACCGGATAAGTTTGCCACCCGCATGAGCGAATGCGAGTACATTAGCATTTTTAATGAAGGCCTTTTCGCTGTGAGAGAAAAATGGTAAAAACTGGATTATGTGTTTGCTTTGTGCGAGCTCTCTCTTTAGGTTATGCTCGTTCGTGCTCTGTACGAGCACATACAGTATGTACGTTGAACATAATCAGTGCTATTCTATCTATATTCTTGGCCAAGATAAGAGTACTATTTTGATGAATACCGTAAAAAAACGGGGCGGTCATGTCGACACGAGGAGGGTTAAAGCCTGACGACCAAAGCCAATATTCTGCAAAGCTTTCCTCCCCTCGCATCTTGGAGCAAAGGATGGAAAGAGTGTGGGGGGGGGGGGGGGGGGGGGGGGGGGGTTCATTGTTCGAGCAAGTGAATGGAGATAAGCCAGCAAAATGGGTGCCCCCAAAATGGACGCCTCGCAGTCTGTGCGATAGAGGATTAGCGAAGGAACCTTCCATGACTACAGTCCAGGACCAGGAAACGAGAACCAAGTTTGTTCCTCATACTATGTCTTCGCAATTTTTAATCAACGTGAATGGACGTCTATTTAAGTAACTGCTGCCCTTGTTGGAATCTATTGGAAAGAAAATTCGAGGGCCGCAAGGAAGGAGGAATGATGAAGCTTCTTTGTACCAACTTGGGGGCGAATGATAAGCTGTAGATATGCCACAATGTTTAGAGTGACGCTAGTCTATAGGCCTTTTTCGTTTGCTCTCGTCCCCAGCCACCTAATCGGCGTATCAGGTGCAGGCGACCAACAAATAATAAAACATTTCAACCTGTGAATAGTAAAAAAAAAAAAAGGAGAGGCAAGGCAAAACGAGAATACATGGTTACGCTTATATCCTACATGTCTTCTAGTGGCGTGGAGACTGCAAAACAGTATTTTTGCTCATACTGGGAGTGACGAAATTCAAGGATGGTGGCACCCTTGTGAAAGAGACATGTAGACGTATTTGACATGGGCGTCGCCATCTTGAAATATCGTCACTTCAAGTATGGGCGAAAGCATTGTTTTGCCGTAGCCTCAAAAATGGAATACATTTAGGATATAAGCGTAACCATCGTCCTTTCTCGTTTTGTCATTCCTTTATTTTTTACTATTTGCAGGCTGAAATATTTTATTTTTTTTCGTCGCACATACCAGATATGTCAGCCAGGTGGCTGGGGTGCGAGAGTAACCGAAAAAGATCATACTAGAAGGCGTGCAAGTTATAAGCTATTCACTCTCAGGCCACTGCATGTAGGAAGCAGGATCTGACTCTTCTTCTGGGGAGGGTGCTGCTTATTTCGCACAATAGTTGGTACATCGTTCCTTTTGCCAAAAGCCCCACAAGGCGACATAAAGTAAGAGACGCAGTGCAAGCGCTCGAACAGGCTGCACATTCAGACAATATTTTCCAAAATTGCAAAAATCTCCTCGATAAAACGAAATTAAGCACCTAAACACAAAAAACAGCTTCAAACCCCCCACCCCCACACAAAAAGAAAAAAAAACTGCCAGGGGAACTTTTACTGATACCAAGGGCATTTTAACTTAAAGGATTCTTGAAAAGAATGTTTTTTTTAAACAGTCCGTTTAAAGCGTATCAGAAAATGAATTTTTTTGCGAAAAAAAGGTAATCTTTACAGCAATATTGACGGCGAGAGGTTTATTTGAAATTCTGGGTGCGAAGTCCATGATGTCACGGAATGGTCATTCACTCTTTCGTCCTCAACGAGATGGTCATACACTCTCTCCACCTCAACTTCATGGCCAAGCTGATCCCCTCTCCTCCATGCGCCTGAAATGCCCCGGGAGAAAGCAAGTGGAAAGGAGGCGACTACCGACTAAATCGTGTCTTGCACCATCAATATTGCTATACAAAATTTTTTTTTGTTCACGGAACATTTTTTGACACGCATGTCCCAACCAGGTTGTTTAAAAAAAAACATTTTTTTTTCTTTTCGGAGCCCTTTAAAGGCCTCAGGTCTGCTTGTCAATTATGTTAAGGTTGCTCTTTTGTATCGTAATCTTTTTTTTTTCTAGTTGGAGTCTATGGCTTTGCTGCCGTGGGCTTAGCGGAGCAGACGTAGGGTTCTGGGGTAGGGGACCAAGGGGTGGGTAAGGGGGAAGGAGGAAACAGGCAATGGTGGAAAGGTTAGGCGGAGGGAGAGAAGGAAGCGAGGGAAAAGTGTGAAATCGTCGTCCACCTTTAACTGTACCAGGACTGACCGTGCTAATCACTGCTAATGCACACGGAAGCGTATTGAAATGATGCGCTTTAACTCCCGCAAGTCGGTTCAAATGCGATCTAGGTGTGTAGTTGACGTGAGGTTTCACAGATGGCGCCGCCGTCCCGTGATTATGGTGGATTGCGGTCAATTGTAATTTGTATTTGGCAAGCAGAGCAACAGCTGATATACTTTGTGTTTGTTTAGAGAAATGGATATCTCTGTTCATGAAGATAGATGTCCTCACTTAAAATTACTGTTCTTAAAGGCCGTCTGCCAGACTCGAGATTCTGCAAGGCAGAAGATCCTCCTCACCATGGAGGAGGAGGAAACAGGCAATGGTGGACAGGGTAGATGGAGGGGAGAGGATTAACCTGGAGAAAAGTGGAAGCGCGAGGTGTACGTCGGCCTTCAAATTGGAAAGAGGAAAAGTCTTGGAGAGATGCTGTAATCATGCACTATAGGAAGTCATGTGACGGAAATGCCTTTGGTATACTCCTAAGCTGAGACTGGTTGGACCAATGGTACGTCTCTTTCACCCATACCCACACGCAGAGTCAGGTGATCATTGTTCCGGCAGTCTCGGCCAACAATAACATCTCTCTTTTTTGGGGTGCCAGTTTGTCCTTCGTAAAACGTGGTGGGCAACACTAGTCAGCACCACAAAGAATGTCGTTATTGGTCTGCCCTTATCTATTTTTAATGTGATCTGCTTGTGTGTTAACGACTGTCACGACCGGAATCGTTCTGCTTCAGGCACGACTTTTCCACTACCAGGCTTTATGGGCTGTTTTAGGGATGGCTGCTTGGGCGAGTCATAAAGGTTCCTGTGAATGGCAGATAGGTTATATACGATGCCCCTGATTAAAAACTATTTTCTAGCTCTGGTAAAACGGATAATGGCGCCTACAAAATGTGCCGACGTTTTCGTAAAATCTTTAGAAAAAAAGAAAACATATTCGAGGAACAGATACTTCTATACTCACTATAAAGGGGTATGGGAACGACATGTTTGCACTTATTTCTTTATTTAGATGTGGTCTATGTTGTGCCAGCAGCCCAGAAACACTAGTCTTAGACTTCTGGGCTGCCAGCAGAGAAGTCAAGAAAACTAATTTTAAAACAAATTAGCAGATTCCAAAATGACGTCTGGTGGCGCCCTGTGAAGCTCCGTTGGAATGCCGCATGTCACGAGGCAGTTACTTAGTCCTGAATCTGACTTGGTGGAGAACATGTTTACTACATTGTTAAAGCTTCTGGAATGCTTTTGCAAAGTGCATTCCAGGCCATCAAGATGGCCATTCTTTGCAGACTTTAGGTTGATCTGAGTATCCTCTGCCAGGCCAACCATGTGAATGAGGCGCTCATATATGGCACTTGGTGAATAGCTTATATACATAGCTTGGAGGTGTGCCGACGGTTATTTACTGGTTCCCTGCTGCGGTTTGAAACTAAGACGGTGTTGGTAACAGCCGAAATACCGGTTGTGCATGCTATGTAGTAGGTCTGACATTGACGCCACCAAACGACTACAGTACCCGTGCTGTTGACGTCGCAATGCTTCTTGCCGGCGGCGTTGGTCGCAGCCGACGCTACGATTCGCCAAGCAAGCAGCGCCAAAAGTCTGCCCGCACAGTGCCGAGCTTTCGTCTCTACGTGATTGTTTTGGCCTTTCAGAGATCAAATTTCAGTGCTGCTTGATTACTGTGTTTTCAACATGCCTTGTAAATCCCCCTTTTCTAGGTCAGGGAGTGAACAAGGTGGAGATTGACTTGCCCAACAAGCGGGTCTTCGTAGATTCCACGTTGAGCTCCGAGAAGCTGCTCGAGGTGCTCAAGAAGGCCGGAAAAACTTGTTCCTACGTCGGCGTAAAGGCCTAACAATTGACTTGTTCATCTGTACCGGAGCTTTCCTACCTTTTTACAGTTACTCCTTATACTTGGGATTGCCTCGGGTTGTCGCCTGCCATGCATTGAGTGTTCCGTCTGAAGCCCTTCAGTCCAGGGTCGGACGAAATCATCCGTGGTTCCTTGAAGTTTCGTCTAGACCCGGGACAACTCGTAAGCTGGTCTAAATGTGGGAACAGTGTTATTTCGCTGTTCTCCTAATTGATATTGATGTGGATGAGCAGCATTGCTTGGCAGTTGCTCATTAACTGCGTATGGTTGGCGATTGTGGGTCGGGATGTGTAAATGCTCTAGTCGCTAGTAGCGATAGTCGTTTTTGTGGTATCTGGCTTTTGTCAAGCGGCCCTTTCTTATATGAAGTGTAATGACTGCCAATAAAGGTTACATCTGCGTATTGTTCTTGTTGTAATGTTTTAGCGATTACTTGTCAAGCCACAGGGCACTAGACTTAACTTTCGTATCAGCAGAGCAGTACCATAATGTTGGCTAGACTACTGTCTTTAAAAGTAGAGGAAGTGACCACATGCCACTTCTAATATTTTATAATGGATTTATTCAGTGCAAGAAGACTGATACTTTGACTGCCACAAACTGGGAAACTTTTACTGAACTTGTGAACAAGTCGATTACTGCTACCACGTTGCATGAAGAACTCGGACCTATAATAAAAGAATGCTTTAAAAAATCTACATTTCAAACAATGCCCTTCGACAGAAATGATATAGATTCAGAGTACAGCAAAGAGAACAATGACTCTTGAAGATCGGCAGGCTGAAAGGAGAGCGCAAAAGGTCAGACGCCATTTCGATTCCCTTGCGTGGAAATCATGTCGAGAGCTATGTGCATCATTAGACGCCAAAAACAGCCTTGTGAAAATGTGGCGAATAGTTTGTGGAATCAGACACCAGACACCACGAATGCTACCCTTTCAGAGCTATTGCTGTCGGAGAACACTGCACTGAGCTCAAAATCGCCGAGTCCTATTGCAAACTAATATCAAACGGCGCAGCTATAGACAATAATAAACCACACATAACTCCCGTGCAAGTTGACTCCAAACTGAATCAACCATTCACACTGAGTGAACTTGACAGCGCGCTACAAAATATTAAGAAAACGTCTTCGCCTGGTCCTGAGTGAGTGACGTATGCCCTGCCCTTTCTCTACTGAAGAACGCTCCACGGCGTAGATTACTTGAAGTACTCAAGACATCCTTTACAAATAGCTCAGTCCCCACTGAATGGAAAAGATTATTTTGAAATCGGGTCAATCTCATTTACATTTAAGATCATAGTGACCAATCGGTCTTACAAGTTGTATAGGAAAAGTTATGGACAAAATGATACTTGCAAGGCTTAACTGGTACCTAGAAATTATTAACATATACCCCGAAATAATGTCTGGTTTTAAACCTGGGCGGTCAACAGCAGATAATGTAATAGACCTAGTTACTTGTGTAGAACATGGAATATCACAAATGCAAACAACAATAGCCATCTTTCTCGACATTAGCAAAGCGTTCGATTGCATTCAACATGCTGCCACATTAACGGCTTTATCTGAACACGTAATTGGTGGCAAAATATACGCATGGATCCAAGATTACCTTTCTGAACTAACTGTATTCATGGATGGGATGTAGGGTTGCACCTCCCATCATACTGTCAGTATGGGTGTCCTATAGGGTGGCGTCCTCAGACCGACGCTATTCAATTTAAGTCTGACATCACACGTGCAGCATCTATCCCAAAGAGTGAATATTACTTCTATGCAGATGATGTCTGCATATGGGCAACGAACCGAAACCGTTTTAACTCGCAAGGAAGCTTTAACAGGCCCTTCGGATAATCAGCAATTTCCTTCATTCACGTGGCCTCGGCCTTTTACCTGAAAAAACAGTAGCAATGGCCTTCACGCGCGTGTCAATGAAAAGGTTTCCTTTAGTCCTTGCAGGAAAATTCATCTCTTATGCTTCCCAATGCACATTTTTGGGATTCACTCTTGACAGGAACCTGACATGGACACCCCACATCAAGCAATTGTCATATTCGCTGTTTGACCAGTAGATCCTGCGGTAAATCATCATATTTCATGCTCAGATTACAAAATTCTCTCGTGAAAGGCTTGCTGCAATATTCGTTACCCGTACTTCACACGTGTGCGATCAACATGAAGAATGTCCAGTCTGAACAGAATAAATCTTTACGGTTACGTCTCGGATTGCCACCGGACTCGCCCACGATACCAACACTCCCCGAAGCCGGACAATTCCCACTTGAATAATGCATACTCGGGAAATTCTCCACTTGTATCTCAGATATAAAACTCAGCATCGTCAAGATCACCTTACGAATGCACATTTGAGGCGCCTGAATGCGGAGATTTCATCGCACATCGTACTTTCTGCAGCATGATATCCCACAATTTGCTGTCTTCTCCGAAGCTTCACACCGTCCACCTTGAATCTTGCTTCCACCCATTGTGTCTTTACACATAAACGGGGCTGAGAACAAATCCTCGCAGGCCAAAATTGTTCTGCTACACTACACATTTTCACGCATACTACATACCCGGACCTTATGCATATGTTTACCGATGGATCAACAAGTGAAAGCTCCTCGTCCTTAGGATTGTTTGTCCCTTCTTTAGAACTAGTTCAGTCCCTCAAACTCTCAAGAAGACTATCATCCACTGCAGCTGAACTCCATGGCATTAAAAAAGCACTGCAGCACATTCTGCAAAAATGGGTCATCTATTCAGACTCGCAAGCAGCATTACAATGCTTAAAAAAAAGCCTTAACAAATCAACTAATCCGGCGCTCGTTTCTGAGCTTCTATTTATTCACGCCACAGCAGCAAACGATGGACAACACATTGTGTTTCAGTGGGTGCCAGGTTACAGTCAAACCCGTTTATAATGAACAGCAGGAAACGCCACGGTCGGTTCGATATAACAAGTAGTTCAATATAGCAAAAAAACCTTTACAACGAACTTCCACGATGCGTTTGTTATACACGGGTCATATCGCCAAAAGTAAATGAATAAACTGGTGCCACTTACCACTCAAGAAATCAATTTATTGAATTTTTGTGAATGCGTACAGTGTTGTTTTTAGCTTATCTCCCCTTCTGAATCGCATCTCTGTAAGCAACCGCTTTGCACTGTTTTTGTTTTTTTGTTTTTTCTGTGTCCCTTTGGAATTGCTTTTCTTCACTCATTTTTGTTGGCGGCTTGAGCTTTCAAATTATTTTTCTTTCCTACTTTTTCTTTGGGGGGTGGGGGGGGCGGGGGAGGCACTGGCTAAGAAACTATTGTTTCCGCGGTTTTGGAAGCCTTCCCGGGGGAAAAAGTTTGATATAGCCAATATGTTGTTCGTTATAATAAGTACTTTTTGCGTGCATTTTTATATAAATTTTCGGCGAGTTCGATATTGACAATAATTCGTACGTGGGTTCATTCTAAACTGGTTTCACAGTACTGTGGTCTTCCCGGAAATGACGCAGAAGATGCTGTGGCTGCTTGCGGACGTAACATAGAGCTTTGCGAAGACGTAATTCACAAAATTGGACTGCCAACAACGAATTAGAACATTAGGAAAAAATCTCTTCCTTGAGACCTGGACATTGCATATTACCGCACCTTCTCACTGCATGAACCCTCTTTTTACAGAACTTTCTGCTAAAAGGCCTCCCAAGAGATTTAGGCAGCCTTCTTCATTGGCTAAGACTCAACGTATCCTACACAAATGACAACAAATGCAAATTGGGATTTATATGCAGCCCTAAATGCAGTGCATGTAATATACCATAAAATATTGAACATATAACTTTCCGACTCCACTCACAACACTGAATGTGCGGAGCTCCAGAATTCCATGCCAAATTGCCATACTAACGACATGACCATATCATCAATTTTAGGCCACTGGCCATCGCCATTTTTCCAGCGCAAGGCCTTGAAGAGCATTTCAACATTTCTTGAAAATACAGGCCTGGCAGAGAGACTTTAACAATAAAACCTGTGTATAATTTTTATCCTAACGATAATTGTGATAGTAGCTGCTCTATGAATATTTGTGACTATGAATTTATTTGTGACTGACTGATTACCATGAATGTGAGTGTGACTTTGTGACAATGAAAGTGTTCTGACTGACCGCACAAAATGATGTCGGCAATTGAAATGTGTGTGGGCGCTTACGCCGAAGTGTGTGTCCTGCTTCTCCCTCTCTTTTCCCTACTCTTCTGACACTCTTTTGTCCTTTTTCCCATTCCCTAACAGAGAAGCCAGTCGAGGGTACTCCTTGGCTTACCTCTCTGTTCTATCTATCTTTCAGTTTTAATAAAAAAATATATATTTACGGACTCTGGCGTGTGCCTTAAATGATCCAAGACTTTGAATATGTTTGGTAGGCATCAGTTTGAATGGCTCGTAAACGTGGAAAAGAAGGAGTGTGCCTGAAACAGGCTGTTTTCAGGCGGAAAGAATATTAATTTCGAGCCACAAATTCTCCCCTGGGTAGTTGGGCTCGTCTTACTCAAACGAAAAACTCGACGAGCATAAATGTCCTGTCAGTGCCCCTTTAACAGCTGCGCAAATAATTTTGTAGTCAGACAGACTTTGAATTTATCGGGTTCTCAGCTCCACTACCATTTGAAAGGTTAAACGTGAGCTAAACGCTTCCCTTCAACTTTGCAAACCACACTGGTCTGGAGCGAGCAATCTAATTTGGTGCTGGTCAAACTTTTGGTTGCAATGGGCACTTTGCAAAATTCGGTCTGGCCACCTTGATCACTATCACTGTTTGAGGAATGGCATCTGTGCCGTACCAATGGCAGATAACTGATTAAGAAAGCATTAAGGATGCTCCTAATGTTACTAAAAAAACAGTTGGGAAGCTTACCCTTGAAACCCAGACTGCTTGCATCCATCGAGGCCAAACGAAATATGATAACAGCGCCGTCCTTTGGCGACGCGTGAAAACATGAAAGTTGATTTGTATGGCTACTGCAAAATGGTACTGTGAGATGGCGCCACTGGACTTTGCCCGACTTGACCCAAACCCGTACGTGCAGCCGTGCAGTTTCCAGAGTGGCCGCTGCAGGAGAAATGGCGGCGTTGCGATCGCCTTTAGTTCGGTTCTCGAGTACAGATCGCAGCGCTTTTTCAAAGCAAGTTCCATCACAGCTTCCCAACTGAGTTGTTCTAGTGACGCTGATGCTCCCAAGCGTATGACGCGAGGCCAACAGATTCAAGGGGTTAGTACGATGTGACTCGGGTATCGAACATGACAGCTTCATAAGCGTCCATTTCTAACTCAGCTTCAGTTTAATCTGGGCAGCACACAATGGACGCTTTTCAAAGAGTCCTACTTATATGCAAGTTCTTGACGC